GGCCATCCCAGATGCAGATGAGTTTGTTTCTTCATCAGGTTTGTAGAAATGTAGCATTGCATCAGTGTCTCACTGCAAGTGAATGGGTGCCGTCAGAATGAGAGTCCAAACAGCTGTTAAAAACATCACAATAATCCACAAGTAATCCACAGCACTCCAGTCCATCAGTTAACATCTGGAGAAGACAAAAGCTGAAACACATCCAGCATTAAGACGTTTTTAACTAAAATACGAGTCCATAATCCATAATAACGCTTCCTCCAGTGAAAAAGTGCATCTGCTGTTGTCTCTCTCATCAAAATCTAGCCACATATTTGTTTAGAGCTGTTTTAGCTTGTAAACGCTGCTTGATCTGTGCAGATTTCTCTCCCGATTCACACCTTTTTCACTGGAGAAACGTTATTATGGGTTATGGACTCATATTTTAGTTAAAAACGTCTTAATCAGGGCTCTGAACCGGTTCAATTAATGAAAACGAAATTTTGACAGGAACAGAACCAGAAGAGATGGTGTTTTCTTGTAAAACATTCTCCAATCATTTTTGTGTGTGTGCTCTTGTGTGCGTGTGCATGTGTGTGTCTGTGTGTGTGTGCGTGCGTGTGTGCGTGTGTGTGTGTGTGTGTGTGTGTGTGTGTGCGAGGTTGCGTTTAGTCGCAAGCGCTGTGGTCTGCTGCTCTGTGTATATATGGCTCTGTGGGTCTTTTTCTTTACACGCACACACACAGACACACGCACGCACAGACACACGCACGCACACACACACACACAGACACACACACACAGACACACACACAACACACACACACACACACACACACACACACACACAACCCCTGAAATAAATAAATAATAAAAAAAAGGAAGAAAATCAAAATAGTTTGAGTTCTTCATTTTATTTTATTCACTTTTATTTTGTTTGCTTTTTGCACCTTGAGCACTAATGCTTGACACGATAAAAGAAAAAGAGAAACAAAATGATTGTACATGTCAAACCATTTCATATCACCAACATTTTTATAGGTTATATATAGTTATATATAGTTTCTTAAATATCTGAAATAATATGACTTCAATTACTTTTTAGATTTTTAATTTTAAAAAAGTTCACCAGCAAATTGTATTATACATAGGTAATACATAATAAACAAATACTTTACCTAAATAATGTACCATTATGTTATATTATTTTACCATTATAGTTAGTATTTAGGGGGAAATCTGATTAATTCTCATTAAAATAATGCAAAATTATAATCATAAAATGCAAAAAAATCTTAATGCTTCTAAATATCAACTAATTAATTTGTTCTTTTTTTTTTGTGAAAATGACTTTTTGACAGGTTTTCTTGATACAGTGCATCTAGAAAGTAAGCGCTTGAGAGGTCCTGCAAAGAAGAATGGGAGAAACTGCCCAAAAATATGCCAAGCTTGTAGCATCATATTCAAAAAGACTTGAAGCTGTAATTGGTGCCAAAAGGTGCTTCGACAAAGTATTGAGCAAAGGCTGTGAATACTTATGTACATGTGATTTTTTTAGTTTTTTATTTTTAATAAATTTGCAAAGATTTCAAACAAACGTCTTTCACATTGTCATTATGGGGTATTGTTTGTAGAATTTTGAGGAAAATAATTAATTTAATCCATTTTGGAGTAAGGCTGTAACATAACAAAATGTTGGAAAAAGTGAAGCGCTGCGAATACTTTCCAGATGCACTGCATTATACTGTAGTACGTGTTTTGGTTTCTAGTGAATAATTTGTTTTTTTGTTTTGTTTTTTACAAAAACTTTTATTTTGAAAGGAACAGTTCATACAAAAAGGATCATTCCGTCATCATTCACTCACCATCATTACAAACCTCTGTGACTTTCTTTCTTCTGTGGAACATAAAAAATGATTTTTATGTTTTCTGTATAAAGCTATCATTCAGTTTGAAAATATAGCACACATCATCTGAGCTACTGTTATGATTCTTTTTTAGAGCTTGACATTAACCACTTTCATTGTACAGAAGAGATCAGTGTGAATGTTCTGCTTTTTGTGTTTCACAGAAGGAAGAAAGTCATACAGGTTTGCAATGATATGAGGGAGAGTAAACGAAGACGGAATGTTCGTTTTTCTCTGCACTGTTCCTTTAAGAGAGCAGCCGTGATCTTCCTATCATCTGTTTCCTCTTTTCCCTGAACTCGTCTCTTTCATATAATCCTCCTCCCAGAAGATCCGTCTCCCTCATCTCCTCTCCTCTCCTCTCTTCCCAAAATCTGGCTGAGGAGAAGGAAAAGTGTGACTCACAGAGCGGCTGCTCCCAGTCAGAAACTCTGTGTGTGTGTGTGTGTGTGTGTGTGTGTTTGTGTGTGTGTGTGTGTGTGTGTGTGTGTGTGGAGGAGACGGTTGCTATGGTTTCACAGGTGACGTCATCCTCTCTGCACCGTGGCAACTGTATGCTTTATATCTGATGATGAGCACCAGGTCCAGCTGGCACAAGCACCTGACAGAGCGGACACGTTACACACTCGGAAAACCCCTGACACTCATGAAAACACAGAGGAAAGAAAATCCCAAATGTGATCGCAGTAAATCCTCCAGAGTTTCATAAGACATCTCAATGTCTCAAACTGTGCTCAGATTTGCCAGAGTCTGCAATTAAAAGTCTCAATATGAACTCAAACTCAAAATTCCATCGATAATGTTTTTTCATTACAATGAGAAAACATACAACAAAAAACATCATAACAATAACATACTATATATATTCTGTGTCAGGTCAGCGCAGGTGTTGTTTAATGAACATTATTCATCTGGATTTAGCAGGGACGTTTCATTGAGGAGAAAAGCATAGTGGTGTGTTCTCAGGGAAATTTGGGTGGGAAAGAAAAAACAACAATACAAAATTAAACCAGAAATGGTACTAAATATGAAATCACTAAAGTTAGTCTATTAGTAGACGGGTTTCCATCCATGTATTTACATGTGAACTTTGGGATATTGCATCAAAAAAACATAAGTAATATTTGACCTTTTATTTGTATTATTTGTATTATTTATTTACATTACCCCAATTACACACACACACACACACACATGTATACATGTGTGTGTGTGTGTGTAATGTACATTTTTCTTATTTTGCCTAAATATTTTTTTTTTTCATTTCGTACTGCCCTTCAGAAGCTGCAGAAGATACCAGAAGACAAAATAAGTTAAATTTACCTTGCTCTTCAAATTCAAAACGCTTAATGCTGTTCAGGACAAACAAGGGACTCATGAACAACTATCACTAAACAGAAAAACCCAGCTGTGGATCATTCAGCTAACACAGTATTAAGAATCAAAGGGATGTAAACTTTTGAACGGGGTCATTTTGATAAATTCAACTATTATTTTTCTCTTGTGGACTATATGTAAATGTCTTTTATGTGAAACATCTTATTCAGGTCAGTACTAAATAAAAAATAACATGCATTTTGTATGATCCCTCTTATTTTGGTAAAATAATTAACATTTTACAGATTCTGCAAGGTGTATGTAAACTTTAGACTTCAACTGTAGGCTATATATCTTTACTACTACTACTATAAATTATTTACAAAAATACTAAATAAATAATTAATAATGAATTAATCTTAAAAAATGCTCACTAATTGTGCACATTAATTTTATTTTATTAAAAAATATTTTAGTATAATTGATATACTATAATAGTTTTAGTTTTTTTAGTATTCTGAATTAGTTTTTATATTCTGCATTTTCATTATACTTTTAGAAGTTTTTTTTTTGTGGTCTATATAGTATTTTGGTCTATATAATTTTATTTTTTATTTTTTTTGTACTTCAACTTAAACCAAATAAAAATTTTGCCTTGGCAACTAAAATTTTTTTTTTGTGGTCTATATAGTATTTAACAGTTAATAAGCTGAATTTTTTACATTATTATTAGTTTACATTTGATTTTTTTTCAGTTAACATTTATTTTATTTCAAGGCAATTATTATTATTTTTATTTTTTAAATGTATTTTAGTTTTAGTTAATGTTTTCAACAGGCTTATTATCGTTAAGTATTTTTATCAATGTACTTTTAGGAGAAAAAAAATGTATTCTTCAGTGAAACATAGCTGAGATTTTACAACATCTCATGAGCACCAATCAGAAACCTCTGCGCCGCGGGAAGCATCATGTGCCGTTCTTTTTTTGTCCGCTCCAGCTGGCTGGTGTGTTTTTACGGGCGTTACGGCAGGGCGCGGTGCTTGCTCTGGTGGGCAGGGGAATACCGAGCCGGGCCCGCTGGGCTCCGGGCCCCTGACGGCCAGCTAGACAGCTGTGGTGCACCAGTCAGCCTGCAGACTCCTCCATCGCCCGACCGCCTTGACGGTTTATTTTAGCTCTGTCGGCTCTAATCAGTTCCAGCCGCATGTGGCGGAGGCTAAAATCACTCTGCTCAATATATATATATATATATACAGTTCTCACACACACACACGATCACTGGAGCCTGTTCTTTCCTCTGCGCTCTTTCTTTCTGTTACCTTAGTCACTCATCACTGTTATTATCACTCTGTTAATGATCTGAACAAACCCTGAACACTATGTATTAACTGTTAACCGATCAGATTTATGGTTTTAATCTCATAGATGATAAAATGGGGGGGGGGGGACTTTGCATGCATACACACATATCTTCTCTACCTAATCAAAAAATCAGTGTTTAGTACCCATGACCCAAGAACCCAAGACCAACTGCAAAGGAATGCCCCTGGCAACCACTCACACACAACACCCTAGCAACTGCATAGCAACACACTTAACACGTTAGTAACGCATATGACTTGTTTGTATTCTGTTCTGTCTTTTCTTCAAAGTCTTAATCAATTTCTAGTTGAATCACTTCAAGTCAAAGTAACTGAAATGCAATGTTGCTGTTCATAATCAGCATGTGAAAATGGAGCTTTCTCGTTTTGCACAGATTTCATTAATCTCAGTAAACTCTGTTCTGCCCCCTGCAGGAGAAAGAGAAGAAGTACATGCTACAGGTGGACAATCTGAAGCTCAGAGATGTGGAGAAGGGCTTCATGTCCAGCAAACACATCTTTGCCCTGTTCAACACTGAGCAAAGGTCAGAGGTCATAATCCTTAAAAATTATTGCAAAAAAATATCATAAAAAGGCTTAACTTTTGTCATGGGATATAGTTAAGAGTGAAACAGGATTTTAGTGGGAACAAAGTGAATGGTTATGGGAAAAAAGACAGAAAGAAAAATAATTTCAAAAGATGGTAAAGTTATTTTTTAAATATATTTTTTCTTTAGAATAACATGCATTGATGAATTAATCACAGAAAGATCAGCAATAATAATTTCAATAGGCTCTTTTATTCTTGTAAAGCCTGACATATAAAGTAATAGCCATGTTTTTTATGTAAGTTTATTGAACCTTTAGACAATTTTTTTTTACTTTAAATGTGTTAGGGATGCTCCGATCAGGATTTTTGCAGCCGATACCGATTTCTTGTCATGGTTATCGGCCGATACGATGCCGATTCTGATGCTTCAAGCTTTATATAACATATGTAATAATGTTATATAAATAATCACAAAAATTATTCCTTATACAGTAACATTTTAATATGCCTTTAAAATGGGGTTTATGCATAACTATGTATATCAGGATGTACATAGGACTTAATATAAGACAAAAATAAATACAAACAAAATGGAGCAGCAACCCACAAGGTTTATTTCAACATTAAAAGAAATAGAAACATTTAAACTACTGAAAGAACAAAACGGAATAGTTTGATCACGGGCGCTGCGGATAATCCGATCGAGTCATAAAATGTGATTATAAATCGATCGATCGGAGCATCCCTAATGTTTATGTGTTTTTTGTTGAGTATCATATTTGATCATCAGGCTTTTCTGGCACATATAGTCTAATATAGTGAGAATATGGAGGAAAAAACAACTCTATTTTATTCAGAGACTCAAACTAAGCAAAAATATGAATTTGCTCCAGATGCTGATATTTATATGATGAAATTCTGATTCTTGTAATGTAAATCAGTGACATCTTTATAACAGTGCAAGTTATTCTGACCTTTACCTGATAAAAATCAGTCAAGATTTGACTCATGAAGTTCGAACTGAAGCTGGACGCTTGTACACTTACACAAAAAGAGCTTTAATTGCTAAAAAAGTATGAACAATCCATTTCAATGTGCTCATCTGGAGATATTACTGCAGTTATTCTGACCTTTACCTGATAAAAATCAGTCAAGATTTGACTCGTGAAGTTCGAGCTGAAGCTGGACGCTTGTACACTTACACAAAAAGAGCTTTTAATTGCTAAAAAAGTATGAACAATCCATTTCAATTTTGACTATCATGTTGACTTTAAAGACTAATCTAATGCATGTAATGCCATGACAGGAACGTGTATAAGGACTACCGTCAGCTGGAGTTGGCCTGCGAGAGTCAGGAGGATGTGGACGGATGGAAGGCTTCGTTCCTGCGTGCCGGCGTCTATGCTGAGCGCGTGGTGGTGTGTGTTCAGATTGATCAGATGTGAGTAGGAATGCATAAATAGAAATGATGCACCTCAAAATGCTTTTCTCTTTCTCTCACGCTGCTTCCCGTGGCGTCACTCTAGGAGAAGGAAAAGGTACAAGCTTTGAGTAGCATTTAGATTTTCTATGTATCTTTTGCATTGCCGTTTTCTGTGTTTGTGTGATTGTGTCTGTGTTTGTCTGTAGAGCGACGCTGGAGACGAGAACGGTTCGGACAGTTTCATGCACTCCATGGACCCTCAGCTGGAGAGGCAGGTGGAGACCATCCGAAACCTGGTGGACTCCTACATGAGCATCGTCAACAAGACTGTACGAGACCTGATGCCCAAGACCATCATGCATCTGATGATCAATAATGTAAGCTCGTCTGTAGCAGAGATGCTCAAGTGGTGAAAGGTTGTTACTTCAAACCCCACAAGGGTTGATTCATGAAATATCATCAACTAAGACAGTTCATCTTACTAGGACATAATATTGGAGATATAGAGCGACGACTGATATTTAGATCATTTTATGTCAGGATCTGCTGCACTGCACAATCTCATTGATTTACATTACAAGCAGCAGAATTTCAATATATAAGCTAAATATCAGCATCTGCACCAAATTCATATTTTTGCTCAGTTTGAGTCTCTAAATAAAACTGAGCTGTTTTTTCCTCCGTATTCTCACTGTATCAGACTATATGAGCCATAAAAGCCTGAAGGATCAAGTATGATACTCAACAAAAAAAATACATATGCACACTTTTAGATTTCCCTAAATTTCAAAAACTGAGATTTTTCTGACTATTACCGTTGAAGAACACTGACGTGAGTCTCTACCCCACCTCAGGTCCCGTCCCGGCCTAACCGCGCACCTCCCAGCGTGCCCAGGTGAGACTCAATTACATCAGACAGTAGAAACTGCTAATGAAATAACATATTTGTGCTGGAAAACAATCATAATGCACTCAGATTGAGGCATAAATATGTGTAATTTCTGCAGCACTAGCACCAAATGGAGTTGCAATCTGCAGGTCTATATGTTTGTCCAACCAATGGAAGACAACCAATTCTGTCTGATGTCGCTAGTGCAGCAGAAATGATACACAATGTCCATGAAACGTTCAGAAATGCTCAAACAAGACTAACCTTCTAGTCCTGCAGTCTAATAACATCCGTTTGCTCTTAGCCGCGGAATGTGAGACTAACCGCTGGAGTAAGTGCAGTGGTGTGGGTGAGTTAACCGGTCACCATACCAACGTTTAAACCATAAGCAACCATCACTGAAAGTCATCAGATCAGATTCAGATGTCCACAGTCTGGCGTCCTGCTTCTGACTCTTATTATCGTTCAAACGTTACAGATTTAAAACATATTAGATGCACAGTGTGTTCTCAGTAGGGCTGGGTGATATAACAAATATTCACAATGAGTTTAATACTGTGAATATTGTGACAATTTTTCCTATTTGTTCAAAGATCGGATCATTAGACTAGGTTCAGGATTCTTCCTTTTCTCGTGACAGAAATCTCTGCGTGGCATTTTTCATATATTACAATGTTTTTACCAAAAATACACTACCAAGGGCAAGTTTATGAAAGTCTCTTCTGCTCATCAAGGCTGCATTTATTTGATCAAAAATACAGTAAAAATTGTGAAATATTATTACAATTTAAAATAACTGTTTTCTATGTGAATATCTGTTAAATGGTAGTTTATTTCTGTGATGCGCAGCTGTATTTTCAGCATCATTACTCCAGTCTTCAGTGTCACATGATCTTCAGAAATCATTCTAATATGCTGATTTGCTGCTCGAGAAACATTTCTGATTATTATCAATGTTGAAAACAGTTGTGCTGCACAATATTTCTGTGGGAACCGTGATACATTTTATTTTTCAGGATTCACAGATGAACAGAAAGTTCAAAAGAACAGCACTTATTTGAAATAGAAATCTTTGTAACATTATAAATGTCTTTACTGGCACTTTTTGATCAATTAAAAAAAAAAAAAAAAGTAATGTATCCTTGAAAAAACAATCAAACTGAACCCAAATTTTTTAACGATAGTGTAAATTATAAATATTAATTTAGAAAATATCATTTTTAAGTAGTTGTATATTGAAGTTTTATATTATAAATTCACATACAAATGTATACATTTATAGTATATAAATTTAAGTAATAATTTCTTTCAGAAAATATCTTGCATACCCCAAAATGGTACTTAATATACAGGTATGGATAAAAAAAAACGTACAAATTGATTACTTTAACAATCTTTTCCCTGTGTTTAACATCTTGTATTTAGCATTCTGAATCTTGCCTACAATTGTTTAACTGAAATGATGCATGATGGTACATCATACAAAATATCATCAAAAGGCTTATAAATATAAGTCATTTGAACGCTTTAACTATATCACCCAGCTCTAACAGTCAGCATATCTCATGTATGAATGTCTGGATCACGTCGGCACACATCAGACGCTTTACTAACTGTCCACAGGACAGTCCTGAGGGATGTTTCTGTTTTTATTTGTGTTCATTGCTGAATTTGTCCTCCGTTGCGTGTGATTTGACTCGTTCTAACACTAACGGCAAGCGCTTGCTTCCTGGCAGCAACACACACACACACACACACACACACACACACTTCCCAGCAGTCGCTCACACACCTTTCATTCTGACCCGTATTAAATCCTAACTTTAATTGCTGAAGTCCCTGATAAATGATTTGCACACTGATCTGCAAAACCTCTGAATTGCTAAATCTGCCAAAATCACTTATCGCTGACTTACAAGACTTATTGCTGATGCTTTTGAATTCATGATTGGCTGTTAAATCTTCAGACAGAGGTTTTGGACGTCAGTCTCTGGTTAGCTTGGATTGGAGAGGTGTTGATGTTTCTGGCTCCTCCATGTTAACCGTGTGTGTCTCGCACATCCTCCCATCGCTCTGGCTCCACCCCTTCTGCTGATATTGATTATTTTTCACAGAATTACAATCAGTGACCAATGAGGACTAACGCTTCTGGTACGTCTGTGGTTCTCTCGCCATTCCCTGTCCCTCTCTGCATGACCGACTGTCTCTGAGACCCTCCCACATGCACACACAACTGTCCAGAAATGATCTATTGGAACACTTTTATTTGCATAAACAATAATAAACTCTTTACATGGGAATGTTCTGGTTAAATGCAACCGAAGCTCTGTGACATGCAGTTGGTTTTCTATAGACAGACTGAGGGATGAGTCAGTTACAGTATGTTCTGTGGTAAATCAACAGCATATCACGTTGTATTTAACACAGAATATTCTTCTACATGTTTATAGCAGATCTAAATGACTGAATGTGAAAATCTTTCCAACAGCCAATCAAATCCTTGTCCAGCTTGCATCTCGTTTGCTGATTGGTGATTTTTTTTAGATGGACAGCAGGTCTCAGAACAGATTCTGTAATGTGCAAACATTACATCAGTTCTCTGAATGTGTGCATCAGGTTGATTTAGTTTCAGTTTTATTTCATTTCATTAAGATCTGAAAAGCCTTTCCTTCTGCGGCCCCGTGCACTTGTTTTATTTCAGTTTTGCCATCGTTATTTACGATCCCTCTTAATAAAAACCACTACAAACATCCAGTCAAATGCTGCACATGTCACCTTTAGGGTGAAACTGAACAGTGGGGTCAAAGGTGAAGTGTCAGATGTATTTTGTCCTTTCATGGCATCTCATTCTGTCATTGCGTGATCTCTGAATGCTGTTAAACATGTTTCAAAACATGTCTCTGTCTGCACAGGATCAATATTGATCAACCACACAACACTTATGCACGGATCTATCAGTCATGGATTAGTAATACCTAATGCACAGCAAATGGAATTAATTACATTTAATTACATTTTATTTGTTAAGATAATGTCAAAAAAGCTGTTTTGCATTTTTAGAATAAACAAACAAACAAATAAATAAATAAAGTTTATTTAATTTTTATTTGATAAAAAATATTAATAATATTATTAAATTATTATATATTCAATTTTTTATTTTAGAATTTAATTATTTAATTATTATTAAACTGATTTCTTGATTTTGTTTAGATAATGTCAAAATGCTGTTTAATTATTATATAATAATTAAATTCTAAATAATAATAATAATAATTAAATAATTCATTATTATATAAAAATAATAATTATAAGTCAATTTTTATGTTTTTAGTTATTTATTTTAGAATTTATTTTATTACCATTAAATTAATTTCTTGACTTTGTTTAGATAATGTCAAAAATGCAGTTTCAGTTTTTAAAAATAAATAAATAAATGTATGAATTTATTTCAAATTAATTTTATTAAAAAGTTATTAATATTATAACAAGAGATATTTGATTCACAACTTTGGCAAAACTATGAGATTAAATATCCCGAATGATGATGCTTTCAGTAATTTACTGTAATTTACTTTTATGAACTCTAATGAGAGAAAATGTTTTACTTTCTCATGTGAACGAAATTCTTTCACATTTAATGAACATAATTTTGTGGATGTTGTGTGTGTGTGTCTGTGTGTGTGTGTGTGTGTGTGAGTGTGTCTGTTACTCATCCATCTTCTCTCTGTGTTCCCATGGCAGCCGACGACCCCCAGCATCACCTACTCGACCCAACCGACCCACAGACTCCTCCCTCTTAGACTTTTAGCCCCTCCCACATCCATGACAGACAGCAAGAACAGACACGCCCACTCAGCCAGAACTCCCCTTCTCTCTCCTCAACTCACACACACATTAATACACATCATACAACGCTACAACCCTCTGTCACAGTTTAACCTTTCATTTCACACAATTCTGTCATCATCAAACCAAAATGTAGAAAAGGAAACATACTTGAGGAACTATTGACATCTTGAGAGCTGGAAGTTCGAAAGCCCTTATTTAGGAAACGTAGAACACAACATTTTTATGAACTCAGACTCTTTGACAGACGGTTGATGAGTTTTACATCACTGTTTATGCTCCTTATCTTCAAGAATGAGCTTGATAGGAAAAGTTAGATGAATGAGCACAGGGTTTGATAAATGCATTTCTGTCACTTTATTTACTTTCTGTCATCTTTAAGCTTCTTTTGGCTAGCAGACGCTTGATTTCCTGCAGTTTATGGATGCATTATCTCTCCAAAGTGTGATCTGGAGTCTCATGATAACTGCATCTTCTGGAATGAGCTCGTGTGCATCTGTATTTCTGTTCATTACTTTGGCTCTTTTTGTTTTTGTTTCGTATGCTGCAGTGGTCCCTGAGCTCACGGGCCAGAAGACGACACCAAACCCCCCCGAAGGGTAATAAACTTTCCCATAGTTCCACAGTCCTTATTCCACATGAGTCTTTCCCTCTCTGAATCACGAGTCTCTTACTGTATGTAGGCTGAGAAAGTCACTGACAGTAAAGTTGCACACTTCTTTAAACCAGCTTTAAAGCTTCATGTAAACATGAAGTCATTAAGTCAACACTATAATAACTTGCACTTAAGCCACAGTTAAATGTCTGAATGTCATTACATTCAATAGGGACAAGGGTTTTTCACAGGGGTGTTTATGAAAACTGATTCAAATGAATCATATATGGTTCATATAATGATTCACTTTTTCGAAGCGCACGCTGGCGACACCTGCTGGTCGAAACGGTGTAAATGCAACGAGAACATAGCACAATAAGATATGACGACGCCTTACAAACCAATCCATTTCTTCATGTGTACTCGATTAAATATAGTCTACAAATGATTCAATATTAAGTCTATGTATATTTTGTGTTCTATTATTAATTTATAGTCCTTTGTGTGTTTTTGAGAGAGTTCGATCAGGCCGATTAGAGACACGTATACATACTTCATCAACGCTGCTCTTAAATTATAAACATCAGTAAAACAGACACTGGTTCATGTGTTCACTGAGCTCTTTCATCGAAACGTTCGTAATGAATCACATGAGTCACTGATTCAAATCAAAAGATTCGAATCTTCACGCAGCAGTGATTTGAAAGCGCCCATCACTAAAGCAAAATACGTCCGAGTTTAGACTAGTTTAAATCAGCTTTTATAACCATTAAACACTTTGTTTGACAGTTCATAATGTTATTTACTGCACGGCGGCAGAGAATAATCCGAGTCTTACCTGTTGTCGAGTCGATACAAGCTCCTAATGTTTCCTCATATGACATTTAAACCGGGCTTAGGTAGAAAACACACAAAGTGTGTGTGTGCGCCATCGTCTCCTGAGGTAATTCCAACTTAAAACAAATAAAAATATCAATTAAAAGTTTCG